TGTTGCGGCGCCTAGCGCCTTTCCAATAGCAAACCACAACTACATGTATGATTGCCAGTTTAACAATCAGGCGTCGCGGAGCATGTTAAAATTGCTAGAAGGGTAGCCATTCATTCTCTCAGCGTCCGCTCCACTGTTAACACCCTATTTTAATTATATGTTCTTTTATTGTAAAAAAGGGCTTTTTATTGCTCCATTGTGTACCCAAATATAATTTTCTGTAGGGAACCCTGAAAGCAGCCCTTTACGAATATCTGAAACTTGTCATGTTTAGTCTTCCACGTCACTCTCATATCTTCTAGATAAGCTATAAACTTTTCCTGTCCTTCTATAACCCGATTGTAATTTGCCCTTTCTGTATCATTTTTTATTGGTGAATATTCCTTGAGAAAAGCGGCTTGGTTCTTTTTGAAAATTTCCATAGTCTCATCAATTAACCTTGTAAAAAGTTTATTATCCAATATGTGCGTATATTTGTCAATTTTCTTCACCACGTCGTCTATTACAAATGTGTAGTAATTCATAAAACCCGTTATGACCTTTTTGATTTCTCCGTAGAAAGCACTGGATTCTACACCGTCTCGTAGTTTCAAGCGCTGGATAAGTCGGACGAAACATTTAAATATCGGCGTAGGGTTATCACACAGCAGGATATACGGATCCTCAAACATCTTCATTCTCAATTTGTAAATGAAATCTTTAAAGACATGTCGTGACTCCTCCTTATGAGCTGAATAAAATTTGAAACTAGCGATGCTAACAATCGGGGGTTGGTTTGCCATCTGAGAATTAAAATTTAATTGGTTAGTTATTACTTTTAGTTTTCCACGAAATTAGAAAAATCTAACACAGCTTTTATTCAATAATAATAATCTAAAAGTAATGGTTAGGTTAGTTATTAAGTATTATGAATACCTATCAATCAATTTAATGTTGGTACATAAACATGATACAATGATATCTATACGTCGCAGCTTCCGATCTATAGGTAAGTAATAGTTGAGCCATAATAAATAGTAAAATAGTCGTATCAGTGAGGCCAGGGTACTCATTGGCAAACTATCCTGCTTCAGGGAGGGCAATACTCGCCCTAGAGTGATGCGCTTTGTAAGACGTGCATTTGTGGGGACTGAAACCAGTCCTCATGAATACCTGTCACGTGTTACAGAGCGCATCGACTTCCTGAAGCAGAAAGTTTATGCATGGGCAAACCGTATTAGACGTTACAAAAAGAGAGTGGAGCGCTATACTCAGAATCGCATGTTCCAAAGAGATCAGAGGTGGGTATACAGAGATTGGGAACGATCCAACCAAGATGTGGTTGACGGGCGGCGACCGGATGATGATGCCACTAGCACATTTTGGCGCAACATCTGGTCGGTACCTGTTAGCCACACAGAAGGTGACTGGATGTTTGATGTTAAGCGAAGGTGTGAGACTATACCAGAGATGGAGGAGGTAGAAATCACCTCCTCTGATGTAGCCAGTGCAGCCTGTTCGGTCCCGAATTGGAAATCACCGGGGCCGGACGGACTGCACAATTTCTGGATTAAATGGTTCAAGAGTTCACACGTTCGCTTAGCATTACACTTCCAGGCAGCTTTGGAAACTGGGTCGTTACCACAATTTCTAACAACAGGAGTTACCCACTTGCTCCATAAATCAGGTAGTTCCACTGAGCC